TCCTACGTCGGAGGCGATACTAATTAGCATCCCTGAATTCAGAGATTCGTACACATTTCAAGGTCAAGAGGCAACGTTGCAACCTGAGCTCCTGCTAGCACTGCCGTTTCATCTAACAGACTGCGTATCAACGCTGCTCGCATAACTACCTTTCATTGCTTTGTCCCAGAATTGATCAAGTCCTGAACTCCAAGCATCAACGAGCCCTGATCGCACGCGGTTCCAAAGTTTGCTTACATGTGAGATCAATCCTATCGTCCGATCGCCTCTCTGATTTGGCTTCGGCAACAGGGCGCAAACCGTATCGGAGACCTGCTCAGGCCAAACACCCACGAGTTCTACAACGTTCAAAAGGTATGCTAACTCGATTATCCCCTGCTCTGGAAGCTTCTGAATGTCCGCCATTCGGAGAGCATCAACCCCTGTTTTTCTTTCTGGCGGGGGCCCTATACCAGCGGGGGGAAAGGTGGGGGGCCTCGATCGGGCACGAGGTGTCCGCGCCAGCCCAGTGGGGCGCTCCCGAAATGGCTTCTTGCAGAGCTTCTGAGGTATCTACAGGGTCCGACCACTTTTGTTGCCAGGCGCGCTGCTTCTCAGCCAGGCCGTGGGGTCTGAAACCACACTACCTGACAACATCGACTCAAGAGGGGCAGGCGACTCGTTGCTTCACATGCCGATGCAATATTCCTGGCTTCTTTGTTTCCATTGCTCTTTTGCCCAGGTCTCAAAGGCACGGCGCGAGACTGTTTTCCCACGAGCATGCGCACAGACGGCAAGCCTATCAGCTGCCTCGACCAGCTCTTGTAATCCTGAATCGCTTTGCAGACTGGTATCCTACATGCGCGCAATTGTGGTGTCTCCGAGCTCGCGGGGGTCCTTCCCTGTATACCCAGACAAATCCTTACCATCTAGCTGCTTAGTCTGCTTCCGAAGCTGAAAGATGCACATGCCTTTTTGGTGCTCATCCTTGCCTAAGTGTTGCAGAGAGAGAGAGAGAGAGAGAGAGAGAGAGAGAGAGAGAGAGAGAAAGAAATATATATAGATCTATATAGAAAGAGAGAGAGAGAGAGAGAGAGAGAGAGAGAGAGAGAGAGAGAGAAGGAGAGAGAGAGAGACTTATCTTCAAACGCGTTGTTGGGGCATCCCACCACTCATCGGGCCAATTCGACAAATGCGCCCTGTCTGGTGTAGCCCTCGATTTTGTCCAAATCAGAGAAAACCCTTGAGCGCGCCCTTGGTGTGAGGACCAATCCGCTCGTTCCACCTGGGACGCCATCACTATAGCCACTTCTGCTCGAGCGACCCAACTGGCATGCAGATCATTCACGCGCTGCGTTGATGCTGGTTGTACCGCGTGCAGGAAATCACGTCCAGCCTGATCGCAGGCAAAGGCAGGTCGCCCTACCAGCTCGCTCGCCTGGGTCCACTGCCATGAAGTCACGATGTACGTGTCTGCACTAGCGCTCAGCTCACTGTGCTCAGGAGGGGAGCGCGCAAGGTCGAAAGCCTCGCGCAGCTCTGTGGCCAGCCGACCTCGGCGAGCCAGCCTGGCCTCCTCTCGGCGCAGCGAGCTCTTGCTCGTCCGCCTGCTTCTTGGGCCTGTCCATCTGGGACAGCCTCGGAATGTGCAGCTTGCGGTGCCACGTGGGCAGTTCGGCCTGCTCGAGCACCGCGGAAGACATGCCAACCATCGTCCTCTCACCTGCATGGCCAGCGTCAAGGTGCTGATCTAAATCGTCGAAGGGGTCTCGGTCCTGGCTCCATTTCCCTTCATGCCGAGGCGGCGTCGAACCCACCGACGGCTCGAGGAGCACCGTGGTGGGATTTGCATGCTGGCTCTCGTCAATGCCGTCTCCGCTTTCCTGACCTTTTTGGCATGGCGACGCCGGGCCCGGACGCAGCTCGAGGAGCACCGCAGCGGGATTTGCGCTCTGGCTTCACCCTGTTTGCCATGGCCCTGTCTCTCAGCACATGGCGACGTTGAACCTGCAAGCGGCTCAAGGAGCACCGCAGCGGGATGTGTTATCTGACGCCCTTCCCCGTCGCAGGTGTCCATGAGAGATAAGATGATGCCGAAGTCGCCGTCGCTGATCCCGTCGAAGTTGGGGGCTCGCCGTAGATGCCTGTGAAAACGCGTGCTCTGCCGTTACCGCAGCGCATGCACGAAATCGACTTCCATGTGCAGCGGAGCCTTGGCTGACGCTCTCAAGCTTCAGGTCGTCAGGAGGCTGAGCGACGCGACCATCGGGAAGGAGGGCATCGACCACCCGCGCGTCCGCTGCGTCCTGCATCCGATGGTGGGCTCCGCTGCGTGTTCTCGCCGAACTCGCTGCGGGGCCCGAAGCCATTCGCTCTGCCCCAGAGGTGAGTGCTGAGCCCGTCCATGTGGCTAGCTCTGCCCCGTGGGCGAGGGCGGGGCCCGAAGCCGCTCGCTCTGCCAAGTTGGTGGGTGATGAGCCCGAGGCAATCGATGTACAGGACACCTCCGTAGCATATCCTCCAATCGTACTAAAGGGACTGCCCTTGGGTCTTCTTAGTGGCCTCAAACATCTTCTTGGCCTGATCCTCAAAGTCTGCATCATCTCCGCCCGGCGCAGCACTGGCAGCAGCGGCGCCACCAGTAGGCGGAGCTGGCGGAACAGTCGCCACGGGGCCGCTGTGACCCGCCGCCGTCGACGCGCCTGCCGCTGCCGACGGGGGCGTAGATGCTGCTGCGCCTGCTCCTGTTCCCACTGTTCCGCCAGCCTCTGACTCGCCCTTGGGCTCTTCCTGCCGCTGCCGCTTGGCCTTGAGCCGCTCCTGCATCTCTGCGGCCTCGCGGCGGCACTGGCCGAGGTTGCTGGCCGTCTCGCTGAACAGCTCGCCGACCTTCGCCATGGGCCCCTCCGCGAACTTGGCCTGCAACGCCACAGACGCCTCCTTCTCGGACTCGTCCACTTCGAGGCCCTCCAACTCGAAGGCGGGCCCTGCCTCAAACTGGACGTCGTCACTCTGCACGAGCGCAGTGAGGTTGAACGCGACAACTGGCCTAGCCTGCTCCCGCGGTTGGGTCTGCTGCTGTGGGAGCTGACCACGAGTACTCTGCAGGACCCGTAGTGCCTCGTCTGCCGCCCGCTGTGTACGAACGGTTTCACGCGCCGCCTCGAGAGCGACCTGCTTGCGCTCGAAGTGCCAATCATGCGCCTCCGCCTCAGACCCCACTACCCTCTCCAGGGCCAGCTTGCCCTTCCGCTCCTAGGCGCGCTGGTGCTGATATTCTTGGTTAGGGTCCCGCTGGACGACTGGCGCGGGCGGCGGCAACTGCTGCTTGAGCCCTTCAATCGCCGAGGAGCCCAGGTGGGGCGCAGCCGCATGCAGCGCCAGGAAAAGATGCTCGGCGGTGGGAGCTTCCTGCGCATCAGCGTGCGCCCCCGCAGCCCCCCTCTTTTCTTGCGTTGGCGGCGGGACTTGGGCCAAGCCGCCCACTCCTTCCACCCGTCAGCATTCTCGCTTGCGACTGCCTGCAGGGTCCGAGTCTCCCAGACCCCTTTCGGCTTCTCGTGCCACAACGGCGTCGGCGACAACTCCAACGCCTTACCACAGCTGTAACACTTCTCGCGGCCCTTCCAGTTCCACGTGTATGAGCATGCCATACACTTGACATAGCCCGCCTGCTTTACCATAGGGCTCGCTCAGACTGAACGGACTGCAGGAAGCTGCGTCGCCTGGCGGCTCATGCGGCGGTGCGATGAAAGAATTGGGGACAAGCTGCGGACTAGCGGTATCCATTTGTTTCCCACTGAAACTCAACACCTTGCGCCAACATGGCTATGGAAGAGGAGGAAAAAGGCGGAGGAGGAGGAGGAGGAGGAGGGATGATGATGATGATGATGATGATGCTGCTGCTGCTGATGATGATGATGATGATGATGATGATGATGATGATGATGCTGATGCTGATGCTGATGCTGATGCTGCTGATGATGATGATGATGATGATGATGACCATGATGATGATGATGATGATGATGATGATGATGATGATGATGATGATGATGATGCTGATGATGATGATGATGAGGAGGAGGAGGAGGAGGAATAAGAGGAATAATACGCATACTAGTAATAAGAATACTACTAAGAATGCTAATAATAATAAGAATATTACTACGAATACGAATAATAATAATAATATGAACAATAAGAATAATAAGAAAAATAATAAGAACATTAAGACTAATAAGACGAATCCTAATAATAAGAAGAAGACGAATACTAATATAAATAATAATACTAATAATAAGAGTAACACTAAGAAGAACAATACTAATATTAGTAATAATAATAACAATCATAATAATACTAGTAATACTAGTAATACTAATAGTAATAATAAGAAGGAGAAGACGAATAGTAATAATAATACAACTAAAGATAATAATGATAATAATACGAATAAGAAGAATGATAATACGAAGAATAATACGAATAATAATAATAATAATAAAAAAATAAGAATAATAATATTAATACTAATGATAATACTAATAATAATAGTAGTAGTAGTAATAATAATATTAATAATAATGACAATAATCATATCAATAATGATAATAATACTAGTAATGATAATAGAAATACTAATAATGGTAATCCTAGTAATAGTAATAATAATATTATTACTAATAATACTAATAACAAATAACAATAATAATACTAATAATAATAATAATAACAATAATAATAATAATAATAATAATAATAATAATAATGATGATAATTATAATAATGATCATACTTACAATTCAGAATATTATTATTAATAATAATAAAAAGAAGAAGAATAATAAAGAAGAAGAAGAAGAAGAATAAGAAGAATAAGAAGAAGAAGAAGAAGAGGAGGAGGAGGAGGAGGAGGAGGAATAGGAGGAGGATGAGGAAGGTGGAGGAGGGGGAGGAGGAGGAAACGGAGGAGGAATAGGAGGGGGACGCATCCCCCCCCGCCCCTGGTGCAGCCGCAGGCGCAGACGCTGAGGCTCACCTGCAAGCTGGCCAGGCCTGGTGCCCCCGCGGACGACGCGTGGGCGCCCGACGGCCAGGGTGTACATTCGAGGCCTGGACGGCCCCCGCCGTCCGCCGCTTGTCGGCGGCGCGCCCGTGGACATCACCGCCGCCCTCACCTTGGGGGCGGCGAAGATCCAGGCCTCCAAGGTGGGGTCTGAGCAGGTGAGGTCAGAGGATCGCGCCGCATCGCTGATGCATCGCCGATGCGGCGGCGACGTGGAGCCCGATTTGCTTGTCGTCGACGTCGTCGATGCATCGCCGACGTCGCCGGTGCATCGTCGGTGCATCGCCAATACACCGCCGATACATCGCCGATGCGGCGCGACCCTCCGACCCCATCTACTCCGACCCCATCTAGGCGGCCTCTAGGCAAAGAGGGGGGTGATGACTAGAGGGGGATGGATATCATGGCGGGGGCCATGATATCTTCCCAGAATTCATGGTGCCTCTTCTCGTTTCAATGCGGCCCCGGCATGCCGCCGGCCATGATTTGCGCCCCCCCTCTTGGACGCCCCCCTCTCGGACGACCCTGGTCATCAGATAAGGAATCCCCCAGGGTACATGCCTTCACGCACGCCCCTGCCGTAGGAAGTCCCCCTACAAGCGCGGGGAAACCAATAGGTACGGATACCGCTACTCCCCGGACCTTTCCTGGGGCGCGTTCTGACCAGGATTTCAAGGCGAATCCAGCGGTGGCGACGCTGGGCATCGGCGACTATCAAGGGTATGGTTACGCTGGAGTTGAGCTGGGCCTGTCCCTCTACAGGAGGAAGATGCAAACATAGTAGCAATAGTCGGGACGATTCGTTGAGCATGTTTTGACAATGCCTGAGCATTTTTCGAGGCTTCCTTATCTTTCGCCCACGCTCCGCCTGCAGGGGGGCACGCCCGACCTGACGCTGGGGTGTGGTCTGCGGCCTGCGTCGCGGGGGCTCTTGGGGGGCACGGCACCGCCCTCGTCGAGCCTTCCTCGGGGCGCGAAGAGCTCCGTCGAGGCCGTCGCCCGCCCCCCCCGGGGCTGGCACCCTGCACACCACGCCCGCGGCAGACCACGCCGCGGCATGGGGGAGAAGGCTCGGGTGGCACGCCCCGCCCGCCCCTCCGACCGGCCTCGGGGTGCGAAGGCGAGGCTGTTCAAGAGGGAAAGTAATGGAGGAGGAGGAGGAGGAGGAGGAGGAGGAGGAGGAGGAGGAGAGGAGGAGGGAGGAGGAGGAGGAGGAGGAGGAGGAGGAGGAGGAGGAGGGAGGAGGAGGAGGAGGAGGAGGAGGAGGAGGAGGAGAGAGGAGGAGGAGGAGGAGGAGGAGGAGGAGGAGGGAGGAGGAGGAGGAGGAGGAGGAGTCGCCGAGGGCAGGCCCTCGCAGAAGGCGGCGGGGCTTCTCGGAAGGCCTCCGAGAAGCGGAGGTTGATAGACCTCCTGCCCTGACACGTCGATTGGCAAATCGGCCGTTTTCGGTTCGCGAGAGGGCGTCGCGGCCGTCATTTCTGCGGGTCCAGGTCCGTCGGTTTCGGTCCCAGGCCGTTTTCACAAAGGGGAGGTTTGCTAAAGGGAGGCTTGTCCACCGCCGAAGAAGGCGGCGGGGCTTCTCAGATGGCCTCCTAAGAAGCCGGCTACGTCTCCAGAAGCTTCGGGCCAGAGAGATCAGAAATGGATAAATCTTCGAAGCGAAACCAGGCTTCTAACTTTTTAGCTTCTCTTCGCTCGGCTTCTCAGAAGGCCAGGGGGACCCCGTGCCTTCCGATTGGGCCCACCACCTCTGACTTCTCCCGCGGGCTCGCCGCCGATCTTTCGCCCCTCCGGCAGCCGTCAGGGGGGTCTCAGGATCTTGGTGTCGGTTCTCACCGAGCGCGTTCCGCTACTCGCAAAGAGCCTACTCGCAAACGTTAGAAAACACAGTCCTCCCACATGTCATGGATTGTAGATCCCCCGCGGCGGACCCTCGCCATTTGCGAGTAGTTACTTTGCGAGTAGTGGAACGCGCTTGCCTGGGTGCCCAGAGGTTTGTTAGCCTCGGGGTGCTTCCCGGACTTCCTCGCGTCGCGGCAGAATCACGACGGACGGACTTTGGCCATTTTTGGACCTCTGGGGGCCCTCGTCGGGATGTTCTCGTGGATTCCCGGAGGTCTTCCATCCTCCCAGATCTCCGACGTCATGACTTTTTCAACCCGCGGGTTTTTCTTCGATTTCGGCCTCTAGGGGGCCACCTTCGAGCCCCGCGCTCGTAAAACACGGGTTGGGGGTGAAAGCCTACCCCTGGGGAAGGAGTCGGGACCTTTGGCGTAGGCCTCCCAGATGGGGTCCGAGTAGATGGGGTCGGAGGATCTCGCCGCATCGCCGATGCATCGGCGATGAGGCTCGATGTGGAGCCCGATTTCGCCACGCCGACGTCGCCGATGCATCGCCGACGTCGCCGATGCATTGGCAATACATCGGCGATCCGGTGCAATTCTCCGACCCCATCTACTCGAACCCCATCTATGAGCCCTCTATGTTGGGCCGCGGACCAAACAGATCATAGAAGCGGGTGCCGGGGTTCCTGGAGGCTTTCCTCGGCGGCGAGTGTGGGAGTCGGGAAATGAGAAGGAGAAGGCCTTCTCAGGAGGCCGCGGGACTTCTCAGAAGCCCTCGCGCCTTCCAAGAAGTCTTCTCCTTCTCATTTCTAGGGGAACGAAGAATGACGTAAACATAAAAACTCGGAGGTCCGCGCGGATTTCTCGGATCAGCGCTGGGGCCCCCTGGCGGCGCCTCGGGCGCCGCCCCTGGCGCGCTCCGCGCGACAGGGAGGGGGGTCCAGCGCGGATCCGAGAAATCCGCGCGGATCTCCGAGTTTTATTTTTATGTCATTCTTCGTTCTCCTAAATATGGGAAGTGGGGGGAAGACGAAAACCCTGAAAATATGTGAAAAGATGGGACAACCTGGAAATTGTGTGTCTATCTATTTGCGTGTTCCTGGGCCCCTTCAGAATGCCTGGCAGGCCTGGGGCGAGGACAGATCGTTCCAGAGCGTTCTTGGAGCGCTCTGGAACGGCCGCAGCGCCTAATACTCAGGGGGCGAAGAATGGTATAACATAAACTTCCCCGCCGTCGGGGATGCCTGCCCCCTGGGCGGCTGCAGAGATTATGCCCCTACGTGGCACCGTGGGGGTAAAAACTTCAAAGCCGCCTAGGGGGCAGGTGTCCCCGACGACGGAACAGGTTATCATGTACTGTTCTTCGCCCGCTGGGATACATCCTCCGGACCCGCGGTTTCTCAGAGTTGTCCAGATGCATCGTGCCGACATGGGTCAATTTGTGCCCGATGTCCTTGAAGAACAACCTGCCCAGACACGGACTTTCGGAGATCACCGCGAATTTCATTATACTGGAGATATTTGTTCCCCTGGCGATAACGGGCCTGACCAGGAATGGCTCATTCCCAGACGGCGCCGGCGCGAATCGTGACGTGACCAAGGGGGGGAGGGGGGGTCAGCGGGGCCGGTAACGGGCGTCATCGCGAATAGCAGAGAAATATGCTTTGCGTCAGCGTGCATTTGGCCGATATCGATTTACTGTGGCAGCACAGAGCCTCAAGAAAACTTGTGCTAACACCAGGCATCGTAGTCCATCGGCGTCACCTTAACATACCCATACTATGTGTGCGCCGCCCCCCCATGGGCGGCGCGCGCACCGAGAAATTTTATGGTATATGCGTCGTGGCGTGCGCTTTCTGGCCACACCACTCGGGAAACGATACACTGCAAGATGAGTCTACTACATGTTCGGGTCGGACGCACGCGTCCGAGGAGGCCACGCAGTACTAGTATGTCCTTCCGCACCCCAGGCATCGCAATTCATGTTCCCTGTTTGTGGGGGTGTGGCCCGTCACGGGCATAAACATATTCGACCAAAAGGCGAACGACACCACGCCCTTACGGCCCTACATGTTGTGCTACGGCCCATCGGGAGCTGTAGCGTACACCGCGCAAAAGACCCGAGCCTGCATTCATGGTACAGGCTCAGGCCCATGGTGCCGAACCCAGACATCCGGCTGCTCCAATGTTTTCGATGCATGGGCCCCGAAGGTCCGGACCGCTTCCCTAGGGCCGGTTTTTCGTCCTGAGCCCTTTTCTTTTGACGCTCCCGAGGCGCAGCGAGGGCCTCGAGAGGCCGAAAACGGCCAACAACGCCCTCTCTGATTTTTTTGGAGCGTCGGATCTCTTGGGGGGGGCGGGGTGGTGTCGTTTGTTATCTGCTCCACAGGTCGGCTCTTGGCGCTGGGCCCCCCAGCGCACGGGTGTCGCCAGCTCGGCCTGGCCGGCGGGCGACGGTCGGCCCGCCAGCCGGGCCAGCCGGGCGGGCCACATTGTGGGCTTGCGATCCACGCTCAACGCCCAACGCTCAACGCGCCTCGCTGCGGAGAGAAGTGCTGCTGCAAGTAGCTGTTCTTCCGAATCTTCTCCACCTCGTGGCTCAGCGGGGAGCCCTCTACGGCGCTGAGGTCCTCGGCGTTCCCATCTGCCGATTCGACCCACTCCCTCCTCCTCCTCCTCCTCCTCCTCCAACCCTCTTCCTCCTCCTCCAACCCTTGAAGCGAATGTCTTGAGTTCGTTCTCTCGTCCACTGGCATCGTGAGGGCACGTAGTGACTTTGTCCTACTTCTGAAAGCGAAGGGATAGCTTGATCAGCGAGTAGCCGTCTGGCGCTGCCTCTGGGCATGAACTCTTACTCGAACTCGCACTCGAACTCGAACCTTCCTTCCCTGCCTCCTCCATCCCTTCTCCGTCCTCCCTCTGCCCCCCTCCCCGCCCTGCCCCCCCCTCCCCGTCCTACCGGAGGCACGGACGCGAGCCCCGTGCCAGGGTGGATGGTTGGGGCCGCGGTGTTCTCTTCGCCGCTTGGCAGCGCGGCACAGCAGTACGGCCAAGACTGTGATTTGAGCGCGCTGCTCTACACTTGTGGCCCGTGTGGGGCCCCAGTCGGCGCCGCGGAGCCTGACGTTCCCTTCCGCCGAGTCGATCCTCCCTTGATGGGCCAATCTTCCACCACCACTACCATAGGTAGGACGGGGGAGAAGAGAGGATCGAGCTCCTCCTCCTCCTCCTCCTCCTCCTCCTCCTCCTCCTCCTCCTCCTCCTCTCCCTCCTCCTCCTCCTCCCCCTCCTACCCATCGTAGTGGGGGGTGGGAAGTCGGCCAATCATCCTTCCGCCTGTCTCCTCGCCCTCCTGGAGCGGCGCCGCCAGGCTCAGACGCTGCGGTGGTGCCGACGCCGAGGTAGAGAACTCAGGCGGCGACCCGCGGCGGGGCCGAACCGAAGCCGCAGTCGTCCCGGCCGCGTCCAGAGCGGCCTTCGCTGCCGCCAGCCTCGGTCGGAAGTGGTGGAGAGACGAGGAGGAGGAGGAGGCGGAGGCGGCGGCGGAGGAGGAGGAGGAGGAGGAGGAGAAAGAGGAGGAGGAGGAGGAGGAGGAGGAGGAGGAGGAGGATGGAGGAGAGGCGGAGGAGGAGGAGGAGGAGGAGGAGGAGGAGACGCGGAGGAGGAGAAGGGAGGAGGATGAGGAGGAGGAGGAGGAGGAGGAGGAGGAGGAGGAGGAGGAGCCGCGGTGGAGGAGGGAGGAGGAGCAGGAGGAGGAGGAGGAGGAGGAGGAGGAGGAGGACCAGAGTAAACCACATATGCATCAGCGACGCTGCAATATACCCTTCACTTCCAAGTCCCCTTCACTACAGGAGGCGCTTCCTTTGGAAGACTAGCACAGGTTGGCCTGTCATTGTGGCAGGGCCGCTGGCATTGTGCAGGGCCGCTGCGTGCAGGGCCGCTGCGAGAAGTAATTGTCCTGTATGCTTCTGTTGCCAGATTAGGAACGCTACAAGCTATGGCCACTCAGTTTGACGAGGTGTCCAGCGTGATCCATCGTTCGAGTAAGGACCACCCCCATCCTTGTAACTGCTGCACAAGCTGAGTCTCCTGGCCATGAGCATCGAGAAAATCTCAAGCGGCAGCCCCACCCAGAAAATCAACGCCCTGGATCCGTGCAGCGCTACGTCCGTGGATGCGTGGTCCTCCTATATATATATATATGGGTAGGTGGTTGGCTTGAACATGTTGTTTTAAAGCGTATATTTGATTTTTATTTCTGTGCATCAGAAAAACTAGCAAGTTCCCGCGGAATGCCTTCCTGTTGAAGCAGAAGACCCCCCAATCCTGCCAAGCGTCACGCTGAGCACCACCTGCGTGCGGCGCTTCAGCCGGTGCCCCATGTTTGAACACGGCCAGTGCTCGATCCTTGAAAACTGTTGCAAGATTGTGAGACGAATGTTCGCGGCGCTCAGGCGAGCGCCCCGCTTTGAAACATTTCGGCCGTCCATCCGTGAAGCTATTGCAGCATGCTGGCAATACAATGTTCTGGCGCTTCGGTGAGGGCTCCATCTTGAAAACGACTCGCCCTTCCCTCCGTGGAACTGTTGCAAACTTTAAAGATGAATGTGCGCGGCCCCAGGGCCAGAGCCACATTTGAAAAGGACCCGCCCCCCATCTGTGAAGTTGATACAAACGTTTAAGACGAGTGCGCGCGGCCAGAAGGCGAGAGCCACATTTTGAAAATTGCCCCTCCCTCAATCCTCGACGCTGGTGCAAGATTTTCAGACAAATGTGCGCGGCGCTGAGGTGAGAACATTCTGAAACTTGCCACCCTTCTCCCTGAATGTGATGCACATTTCAAAACGAATGTGCGCGGCGCTACTAAGTAACGCGAGGGCCACATGCTGAAAACGACCCCCCTCCATCCTGGAAACTGTTGCAATATTCAACGACTGAAGAGGCTCACGTCATTCCGCCGACCCCCAGAAGAGAAAGAAGTCTCGCAGAATCGCGGACGCCGTTCGGACTCCTGGCCTGATTGCATTGGCTCGTACAGGAGGAGG